CTAACTAAATAGAATACAAACAAGAAAAAGAAAGTAAAGAAACAATCCCTTTAAATAGCACCAAAGTAATAAAATAACCTAGGAATAAACCTAACCAAGGAGGTGGAAGAATTATACACAGAAAACTTTAAACCATTGGTGAAGGAAATTGAAGAAGACTTTAAAAATGGAAAGATATCCCATGCTCTTGGATTGGAAGAATCAATGTTGTTAAAATGGTCACACTGCCCAAGGCAGTCTACAGGTTTAACGCAATCCCTATCAAACCACCCGGGGACGTTTGTGACCCCGGTTCTTTGAGACGCTCCTGCTTTGGTACCCGGCACTTCCTCTCTCCTCTAGCCTGCCCTTCTTTTCTTCACTCTCCACCCCTACTTTGGCTTATTTCCAGCGTAGAACCCTTTAGGCATCTCTTTCATCTCTTACTCCTCTGAGAACACATGACCTTGGGCTTCTCAAGTGGATTACCAGCACTTTCCTGAGTGGGCGCCCTGCTCTCTGGAGCCACGCTAATAAGCTCACGCTTAGCTTTTTGAAGTTTGTTTCTCTTCAGACCTGTGGTCTCTTCGTCTGGTTTCCCTTTTGTCTTGTTTATAATCTGAGTAGAGAGATAATTGACTGCTTTTCCTTTTTGCACTTAGCATTATATCATAGGTTTTCTGACATATTGTTACATAGCATCATTTTCAGTGGCTTCAGAACAGCCCATGGAATGGCTGGACTGCAATTTTCTTTATGTTCCCCTGTTGCTGAACATTTAAGTCATTTTCTAAAATTTCACAATTGTGAACAGTGCTGCAGGGAATATCTTTGAACATGAAGCTTTCCCCTTATTTCAGGGCATTTTCTTAACCAAGTGTCTATAAACTGGAACCAGTACGCAAAAGATAGATATGCAGCTGTTTTCGGTGGTTGCTTCTTACAGACTCTGTTTTAAAAAGTTAGCATTTGTCAGCAGGGTATTATCGTAAGAGCGACAGATCTTTTTCTCTCGTTTTGTGAAGACAAGGATAGTGTCTCCTTCTCCTCAGTTAGGGCTACATAATTAATAAGTGGTGTCCGGTTCAACTGGGCATGTTTCCTTAAGCCCAAATGATGCTTCCAGTTCCCGGCCGGGCTCCGTAGAAGAGGAATTGTCCGGATGACAGCTGAGTGTTTTACCCCAGAAGCCGGCAGTATGTGACGTGGATAAGCCAGCAAGGAAGGCTGGAGTCAGAACAGATAAGTTTCTGACTCACTCAGACCTGACTGGCCGCTGGCAGATTTGCAGGGCAGCAAGGCAGGAATGGGAGGGCAGCAGTGTCGTGACGTCCCAGTTGATGGCAGGCAGGGTCCCCAGACTTCCCACCAAATGACTTGCCACACTTCTGGCCTTAATAGGAGATAGCTGAAGATCTGGGAATTAAGTCGTCTCATAAACATTCAAATTCATGGCAAAATTACTATTTAATTAGGAAAAGATCTGTAACATTGTGCTACTTTTAAATGAAAGTCATTTTGGAGGAATTAAAACTGGGTCATAACATTAGTATAATGTTTTAAAACAAACATTAGCAAGACATACTGAGTATACCCTAATTGATGAATAAAAGACACTAGTTTTGCCTTTGTATACTTACCGTGATTATGCCGTATACACTGATTCTAGAAGCCCGCCTCTGGGGTGGAACTCTGCTTCCTCGCTTCTTTGTTAAAGTGGGATGTGGCAGAGGCGGGGAAAATGATGCATGCTCATTTTAGAAAATTCAGAAAAATTAATTTGTGACACAGTGTGTTAAATATCAAGATGTGTTATAAAAGTTTTGAGAAGCCTGAAATCTATCCCCTAGAGGCAGTCTGTGTTAATGTTTAGGTGTATCTCCTTCTTTTGTGTTATATGTGTTGTTCCCGTCTACAGATTTTTCAGTAGAGTGTGATTCTGCTGAATAACCCATTTTGTATCTCTATTTTCCGTGATACTATATGGTCTTCCTAATATAATTTTAATAGCTGTGCAATACTGCATCATAGTGGGGGTGATTCAGCTACTTTAATAATTTGGGTTATTTTCAGTCCTGACTGTTAAAAAATGGTTCTAAGATGGACATTTCTATGCATTCTGGCCAATGATAGTCAGCGTCTCTGGTGATCTCTTTAAATTGACTCCTAGAGGTACAATTACTTGGTTAAGGACATTGGAAAGAACTTTTCTAAGGCTGCTGATAAAAACAGTCCTGAAAAGCCATACACATTTATATTCCCTCTAACAGGATGTGCTGAGGGTACCTGTCTTGCCCTCCTCACTGACGCTTGAGATGATTGTTTTCCTTTGTCTTTAAGTCTTAAATCAGTAAGTGATACATGGATAACGTATTCCTTTCAAAAAATTAGTCTTGAAAATATCTGAATTCGTTACGATGGTGCTTTAATCAACTCTCAGGCAATTCAAGCAGACTTGAAAGTGATCTTTTAGTTTCACCGTAAGGAAGATTTTAAATTAATATTTGATATTTGGAAGAATAAAAGGCCGTATTAGAGTTAGCATTAAAATTGTATGGAATATAATTTTTCCATGTGATGTAAAATATCTTCTTTGTGGAGGGCTGCCGAGACTGGGCAATAGCTCAGCCTCCCCAGGCCTAGGAAAGAATTACCAGTTGCTGACTGTCTTAATACATCCAATACTATTTAGAATTTCAAGATCACTGCATAATCTTAAATTATTCAGTTTGTTGGGGGCTTCAGACTTTAAAAATATCCTCCTTCCTGTAGACTTACTAATGGAACACATACAAGAAATTCGAAGTTTGAGAAAACGTTTAGAAGAATCTATTAAAACAAATGAGAAACTCCGGAGACAGCTGGAACGACAGGAGTCTGAACAAGGTAAGGGGGTCCCTCCCAGAGGCGGCAGGGGCTTCGTTTGTGCCGCGTTTGCCTGGGTAAGTGTTCTGTGTACTGTGAAGAGCTTTGGCCTTGTGGCCAGAGAGATGTCAGTTCAGATCCTGACTCTGTGCTTACCTCCAAGGTGACCTCACGTAACCTTGCTGACTTTCAGTTCTAGTAGTTCATCTATTAAATGGGGATAATCATTCCCGTTTGTTCTTTGGTGATGAGAACTGAGTGCGCTAACTCACGCAGAGTGCCCCACCGTCCCTGGCACAAAGCAGGTCCTTGGTAAATGTTCATTTCCCGATCATCAGAGAAGTCAGCCAGCCTCCAGCGTCCTAAATTGTGGTTGACTCCTCATTCGACTCCAGAAGCTGTAGCGAAATAGAGAGGTATGCTCAGATAAAACAAAGCAATAATTGGTCTTCTTGTCAATAATGGTTTCTAAAAGAATTAGCATTTTAGCAATCTGGTAAACCTCGCACGCCAGACACGAGGTTACCAGTGTTCCTCCGTAACCACAGTTAGCTCTGAATGGAATATTCTTCTCTGAAAAACTGAAAAATACATATCTTTTTCTATAGGTAAGACATTCACATGGTTCAGAAATTAATATTCCTATTCGCTACCTGTGAGTCCTTTTTCTCCCTTCTCCTCCCACTTTTGAGAGTTTCCTTCGGTGCCCTTACAGTGTCAGTGCAAATGCAGAGACATATTACTCTCCCCTTCACCTACCCGAAAGCTAGAAGACTTTATACCCCTGTTCTCTTCCTTCCTTCTTTCAGTGCATATATTTTGAACATCCTTCCTTATTGCTCCGAAAAGAGTGTCCTCACTCTGGGAAGAATGCGTCTTGAGAGCAGCTTTGTGCACAAGGAAAAGCCTGAGTTGGTTTGGGAGCTGGACTGACCTGGGTGTGGACCTAGCTCTTCTGTTGTTTATCGTGACTTTGGGCAAGTCACCCACCTCTCCCAGTCTTAATTATCTTAACACATGGAGTCACTGTGAAATTAAACAAAGCAATGTTATGAATAGGGCCTTGCTCAGAGCTGCACCCAATAGAAAATGATTTTCCTCATCATTGTCAGTTTTGTTTTACTGCCTTATTTTGTGCAACATTATTAGTTTTAACATTGCAAAGCTCTGCAGTGGGTGGGGACACTAATGTCATTGCCATTTTTGGGGGATGAGACAACTGAGTTCTAGAAAGATGTAGTCAGTGGGCCCCTGGTCCAGTTCTCCTTGCTTTTAGCCCATCATAGCCATCAGCCCAGAAGGACATCTCTTCGAAGTACTGTATCTGCTTAGTTTGCAAGATGAACAATGGTTCCATTTCTGTCTGTGTGTGTGTCTCTTTCTCTCTCTCTCTCTCTCTCTCTCTCGCCACTGCACCCCTCCCCCATCCTGCACCCTCCCCCTCTCACTCCCAGGGAAATTGATTAATCTGAGTTATTAGTCACATCAAACACTGGAAAGAAATACACGCCTGAGCCCATCACATTCACTCTTGGTAACGCCTGAATTAGATTCATTCTGTTTTACATTTTCCCCAGCAAATCCAATTATAGAATTATTTGGGGGCTCAAATGGCCACCAGCTACAATGGAGCAGGCAATTGCTCTGGAGAGTAATTCACTCTGATGGGAAGGTTTACAAAAAGGCATTCATAAAGTATTTATGCTGGTGGAGAGACGTGCTGTTCTCACCATGTTGTCACCGTCCCCGAGAAGACAGAGAAATAATAGCGCATCTGCCTCCCCCCTGCTGTGAAATGTTCATCTTGGGAGCAGGTTTGAGAAAGGCACGGCTCCTTGTAATGTTGAGGTGGAATATTGTTAAAAACTGTCATCTCACGCATTAGATCTTCCAGCTTGTCACCAGTTACACGAGCTTACAGCGGTGACTTTCAGAGGAAAGACAGGCCTCTTAGCGTCAGAAGTGGACCCCGCTGGCTCAGGCTGTGTCAGGAGTTGTTCTCTGGCCTGACGATTCTTCTGAAAAGTGACCACGTCAGCTCTCGTCATGGTAGACTTCTGTAGAATTTTTCTGGTTCGTCCAGATTGCTCTCTGGTCCTGTTTTGGCTCCAGCCTATCATCAGTCTTGATATTAACACAAATGGTAATACAATAACAGTAACATAGATCGTTCTTGAGTTAGCAGAGACTTAGGGAAGTTATGAGACCCTGGTTCAAACCCAGGTGTCTCTGGAAAGACAGCAGAGTTCAGAGGGGAGAGTGGAGGAAGATGGCAGGAGGGATATATGAGAATTACAAAAATGTACGACATTGTGATAAGTGAATCATCGGCGTGAGGAAGAGGTAATGCTGGAGAGTGAGCGGAGTACAAGCTTTGGCTTCTGGGAGACCTGGTGCCATCCCTTCCTTAGGGGGAGTCTGGCTATTACAGGATGCTCTCAGCTGCAGACAACAGAATATGAGTAAGAACTGCTGTAAACAATGGGGATTTATGTTTTCTTATATAAGAGACCCAGAGGCAGGCAGCTCCGAGGTGGGTCTGAAGGCTGATGGATTGACAGCAGGGCCTGGAGTTAGTGCCCGCGATGACTGCAGTGATTATCAGCGTCCCATCTTCACAGAACAGAGTCCAGAACATGGGAAGGGGAGGGTGGGGCTGGCTGCTCCCTGTCCTTCTCTTTTCAGCCGGGTGGAGAATCTTTCCTAGAAGTTCCCAGCAGGCTTCCTGTCAAGTTCATTGACTGGAAGCGGCACATGACCATGTTCTAGCTGACCGGAGGCTGGGAAAGCGGGTGTGGCAAGACTGCATCAGTGAGGAAGACAGGGAGGGAAGCATCTGCCTGCCCCGCGTAGAAAGCACCCTGCACACAGTGGGTGCCCTTCGGGGGGAAGCTGTGGACTTGAACACTGTATGTGGTGCGGACGTGGAAAGCCCAGAGGATGGCAGTGCTGAGGATGTGGTGATGGTGTCTGGGGAGCTGTCCGGCTGGAGGAAGGGCTAGGATTACAGGAGAGAGACAACAGCCCAGGCAGGTATGTGCAGATACAGAGACCGCTGAATTTGTAAGTGACCCCAGACCCAGGCGGTCTGCCTTCAGAGCCTGATCTTTTTAGTATACACCCAGGGGCAGTGAGTTTGAGCTGAGGTGAAAGATGAGTGTGATTTTGCCAGGTGAAGAAGGTGGTAAGTGTTCTAGGCAAAGGGAATACGTCATTCTGCAGAGTCAGGGAGGCGTGTGACCGCATGCTATGCTTGGGGCACAGAGTGGCTCAGTCTGGCTGCATTTGCGGCACCAGGGTCCCAGGTGAGAGTGAGTGGGACGGACCACGAGATCAGAGCTAAATAATGGAGATCAGCCTCTGGACCTTGTGCTTGGTTTGTGTGATCATCTTTCGCAGTGGTGGGGCCGTCACATGTTGCTGAGCAGAGAAAAACACGAACGGACCACGTGGAGGATGATGACCTCGTTGGCAGAGTAGCAGGGAGGCGGTAGGGCAAGGCGTACGGCTGAACTGCAGGCACGGAAGAGTGGGCAGCGTCCGGGGCCCCTCGGAGGAAGAGACAGCAGTCACGATCGCCGACGGGGCCGTGGAGGAGAGAGGCGTTAGACTGGCCCCCAGGATTCTAGCTCGGGTTCGGGATGGTGCTGACGCCATCTACAGAGGCAGGAGACAGGAGGGAGGGCAGGCTTGGCAGGTGGGGAGGAAGGGTGAAGAGAGGACTGGGAGCAGCCTCAGTGGAAAGGTCCCTGCGGGTTTGGACCTCGGGAGAAAAGTCCACGGAGGTTAAGACTGTCCCCACTCCCCACACTCCCTCCCCTGCCAGCCCAGGCTCCTCCTCTGTTCACCCCAAGGACAGGTACGGTGTGGGAGAGGCCCCTCCTGTCTCCTCTCTCCAGCTCACTCTCATTTCCCTTTGGGCTCTGGTAGTACCTTATACGGCATTGTATGTTGTGTTTCCTCATTAGTTAAAACTGTTCTAGAAAGTTCCATCCATATAGGCCTGGAGAATGTCCCTAAATTTCTATTTATGTGTTTTTATAGGTTCTTCAAACATTTTCGTTTATGGTTCCGAGCTGCATAATTCTCTGACGTCAGAAATTCGTTTCCTGAGGAAGCAGAACCAGGCCCTCAACACAATGCTCGCTAAAGGATCCAGAGGTAAGAGACAAAGGAGCCCTCTGCGCGTGGAGAGAACGCAGCCCTGGAGTCCGGCCTGCCTGCCTTCAACTGCTCTGTGACTTTGCGCAGGTCACTTAACCTCTCTGAATCGCAGTGTTCTTAGCTGTAATATAGGAATAGCCCAGAGGGCTCCTGTGACACTGAGCATGGTAAAGCCCGCAGCGCAGGGGCTGAATCAGCGTTACTGTCTTTACTCGTCACCCCTCCTCCGTGCAGCCACCTGCCACTCGTCTTAGTTCACGTGGGAGAGAGAAGGGCTGGGAGTGTGTTACTCCCCACGTTTCAGACCCCTTACTGTCAGGAACGTTTTTCCAGTATTTCTTTGAAAGATTTCTTCTTTTAATTCCTTCTGTTTGGAGCTTAACCCCCAACAAGCTTTCACTTCTATTTTCTCTCAATACTTAAAAATGTTTCTGGAATGACATGACTATTAGTCCTGTTTTGCAGGTAAGAAACCAAGGCCTGGGGAGTGGCTGGCCTGTGTTCACAGAACCAGAAGGAGGTGGACCCGCAACGTGGCCGCCTTATCCCCCTTTCCCTAGGGGATATCAATTAAGAGATGAAACGGGGGCTTCTGCAGGTCGTTCATTCATTCAGCAAACATTTCCTGTCTCCTCTTCTGTGTCAAGTCCTGTGTAGCTTCTGATACAGAATTGAGTGAGCCCTGGTTCCTTCCCTCAGGGGCTCATGGTCTGATGGGAGGGACAGCCTGGCAGTTCGTGGCTGGCCAGGCCGAGGATTCGCCCTGATAAAGGCTTAGGGAGCCCCAGGATTCTGGAGAAGGCATCCTGACCCACAGGAGGCTGATCTTCCAGAGCTGAGTCTGGAATATTCACAGGGATTAGATGAGGTGCCCAAGGTTTAGAAGAGTCAGGGCATTTTAAATAGAAAGGAGAGAGTGGACAAAGGCCTCGGCGTTGGAGTTGGGGGAGCATGGACCAATCAGGAGTTCCAGGAAGCCTAGCGTGGCTGCGTTGCTAAGAGGTGGTTGTGTTGTGGTTAAGAGTGGATTTGGAAACCTGGGTTTGAAATCTGGCTCTGCTACTTCCTGGCTGTGTGACCTTGGTGAAGTCTTAACCTCTTGGAAAGTGAGGAGGAAAAAGTACCTACCTGGATATTTGCTCTGAAGAGTGCATATGCTGATGCTCGGGGAAGTCCTAAAGTAGTGCCTGCAGTTAGCGCTGAGGCCACAGCAGCGTGACCACCACCAGCGTGGCTGACGGCTCACTGTGGAGCACTGACAGCCTGCAGAGCGCTGTGAGGCCCTGTGCGAAGTGCTTCACACACAGTGACTCAGTTACTACTCACGGCCACACAAATGAGGAACCTGAGGCACAGAGAAGTGAGGAAAATGGCTCAAGGTTGTGGGGTCAGTAAACGAAAGAGGCATACTTGAACATGCCCCTCTGCCTCCAGGCTGTGCTGTTGACTGTTTGTCCCTGGGCCTGCGTCTGTCTAGCTCATCCCTTAGGAGAGGCGCTATCCTCTTGGCCTGACGCTGACAGCCGGGTGCCACCTGCACAGCCCTGCTGGCCTCTGTGGGGGGTTTTTGGACTTTCCCAACACCTGTCACCAGAGTTTCGGGCCCTGTTTCTTGCTTCTGTCTCTAATTTCTACCCATTGTTTCCTTTGCCCATTATTTAATAGGAAATTAAACAGGCCTGTTTCATCCCAGTGACATTTCATCTGCAGTCTTGATGTTGACAGATTCATGTGCCCAAAATGCATGAGATAATTGGAATGCCACAATCACGAACGCCAGATTAAATCTCACTCCCTTTGGTATTCCTGGAACGCTGCAGCTGAAGTGCCAAATTTGTGTAATAAGGTCGGAAAAAATAAACAGTGTCTCTTCTCAGTGTCGCTTTTCTCGTGCATGCAGATAAACAGAAGGAGAATGAGAAACTGCGCGAAGCCCTCTCCAGGAAGACGGCGGACCTGGAGCACCTTCAGCATGAGTTTGCCTGCCTGAGGGCCGAGAACCAGAGGCTGCAGAGGGAGGTGGATGAGAAGGAGAGCCAGAGCCAGCAGCCGCTCCAGGAGGTCTGCCACGGCCGCAGCCAGCTGAGCAGGTAGCGGTCCAAGCCCCCAGGCCCGCTGGCCAGGCCACGCGTCTCGGCACTGGGTGCGTTCGGGGCGCACTCGCCCCTGCCCTGGCGCCTGGGGGCGGATGCAGTGCACAACACGTGACTCGTCGGAAGGGAAGAAATTATAGGGAGCGCAGTCATCTAAGGAAGGAAGACAGGGCCTGGGGGGCAGATTGCTCCATTTTATCCCAGGTGGCTCAGGGCAGGCCTCTCTGGAAAGATGCCATTAGAGCAGCCGCCTGAAAGCAGTGAGGGCGTGAGCTGGGCAGGTGTCAGGGGGAAGGTCATTTTCCCTGGAAGGGTAAGGGCCCCGAGGCGGGGAGTCCTGGGGCAGTGCAGCTGGAGGAGAGAGGCTGTGGGAGAGGATGAGGGCCCTGTAGCCCCGGTGAGGGCCTTGGTCTTCACGCTGAGTGACGCGGGAGGCCGTGGGAGGTCCTGGGCAGAGGAGTGACAGAGTCTGACAGGTTTTAAGAGGACTGTGCGCACCATGCTGTTGCACTTCCTCCCTCAGCCCCGTCCTGTCCCACGTGTGTCCAGTGGTCCCCGCCAGCACGCCTGAATGCCCCCCCGCTTTAGTTTCTGACATCACCCCTCTGTTCCCCAGGGTGGTGCAGTGGTCTGCAAGGTCATGGTCTTTGCCATGAGCTATGCACCCTTGGGTAAGACGTAACCTTCTGGAGCTCCACTTCCTCATCCCCGTGGATTGGGGGTTAGATAGCACAGACCTTTCAGGGTGTCTGTGAAGACGGTGTGAGATAATGTACATAAGGGGCTAGGCCCAAGTGGCCCTCAGTGGCCCCAACTGGCTGCGACTGGTCTTCAGCACGCTGATCACTTCGTCCACGCTCTGGCAGAAAGGGGAGCTGCCTGCCTGGGGGGTTGGAGTAAGTCCCCTGCGTCAGGGGTGACCCCTCCCCCCCGCGGCGGCGGGCCTCTTCAGGGTGCAGGAGGAGGTGAAGCTGAGGCAGAAGCTGCTCTCCCACA